GCGAATTGAAAGATTTTGATACAATCTACAAAAAACTGGAAGCAACAAATGCTTCAGCAAAGTCAAGTTCAAGCAAGCTACACCGAGCAGGCGCATGCCGACCTACACTACAACAAATTCTGAATAAGCCGCCGCGGTAAATTATGCTTAAGATACCACAATAATATAAGCACAGACTAACAAGGCGGGGCTTATTGAGAATTTGAACCGTAGAGTATGGGCTTGTTCACATCAGTTGCACAATATTCCCAATAATATTGTATAATTTATGTAAAACGGATAAGCTGGGGTATAAAATAACGCATTAGGGGGGGCAAGTGTAACGCGGGGAAGTGAACAAGCCCATACCTAGACTAAAGGAAAGGACGTCTGCGTTATGGGCTGCCACGACACGCTGGACGCATCCACATGCATCCGTTGTGTTGCCGTTGAAGGTTGGGGTCCACTACGGCGAGCACTTGGGCTCAGAACCAGTTTCTGATCTGGGGAAGAAGTGTCCGATACTCCAGAGAAATGAGATGGAGTTGGGGACTGAAGATGTTGAAGATTACGACGAACAGAGAATGGCACATCATCTAGATAAGAATACTCGTTCGAGTCCATGTGGGCCCCAAGGCTGGTACACAATCCCACCCCACAATCCAACCCCACAATCTTTCACACTTCATCTCCTCATACTGCTCGGGTTCTTGAGCCAACGCCCCAAGTGCGCCGGCATGTCTGAAGCAAGGTTACATATGCGGAACATGTCTCTGTCCATGTCCCAGCAACAGAGTGAATTCAGCAGGAATCCTTGACCGACGACGAAAATCCTAAGGAGTGAATCCAGCAGGAAACTTGAACCCAAGACGAAACCCGTAAGCACTGAATACCCAAGACGAAAACCCTGAGCGGTGAATCCAGCAGGAACCTTTTCCTGCAGACGAAAACCCTAAGCAGTGAATCCAGCAGGAACGTTCAACCCAAGACGAAAGCCCTAAGGAGTGAATACCCAAGACGAAAACACAAAGGAGTGAATTCCGAAGGGGAAAACGCTTCGGAGTGAAAAAGGTGAAAAGCTACATCTGAGAGAAAAAGTTACAACTAAGATGCCTGTTTTGCAACCTTCTGCAGAGACGTGCTGTGTTCGGAGCCAAGAAAAGTTGCAATTAAGTGATTTGGCTGAAAAAAGCTGAAAAATACATCTACCAAAGGAAAAGTGCTCTACCTTATTACAGTCTATGGATACCACAAGTAAACATGATGATGTCGGTGGTATCCATAAATCTTCGCAATGTACGTGACGCGTGTCTGCATTCGGGCTCGTGGGTCCTATCAGGTGTATTGGCACCTCGCAGGCGAAATTGAACGTTTGTAGAAAGCTGGAAAGCATGCTTTGTAGAAAGAAGGCACAAGGTGTGTGCAACGGCACATGTTTGTTCGCTCATTTGCGAGCAAGGTCTTCCGAAATGCAGCCAGAGAACAAGCGGACATGTTGCAAATGGAAGCCGCTGCGAGGCCGCTAGTGGCCAAGGAGAGCCGCTGCTTGGGCAGGCCAGGCGCCCCGGCGCGCCTTGGGTGCGTTGTCGCTTTAGTGCTGCCCTACACCCCAGGCCCGCCCCTCTGGCCCGGGCTGCCTGAAGCGCTGCTTCCTGCGGATGCCGCGAGCCTAAAAGAGGAGGATGAGCCAGCATCGCGCGCTGAGCGAGCCCATCGCAGAGTGAGGTTGGGAGGCAAGTGGAGAGACTTGGCGCTGGTGGCCAGCGTTCCCCAGCTTAAAGCGAGATCTCACGTGTCGCGCGTTGTTCCAGAGATTGTCGCGAGGTCACAGCCTTGAACACTGTGCTGGCGTCCTCTCTGCCCCTGCTGGGAGGCAAGCCGCAGCTCCTGCCTAAGAGGGGCCCCCCCTTCAATTCGAAGACTGGAAGCCGTTAGTAGCCGCTTCAGTACGCAATGCCTTCAACGATGCCTGCTGCCACGCGAACCCACTAAGGCCGCTGTTGATCTCCACGATCTTCGACAAGACTTTGATGCAGAAAGATCCCGAAGCCTGGGCGCCGGCCTCAGGCCGCGAGAACGCAGCAGGGCTCCCTCCCAGCCGGCCGCGAGGTCCTCCCCTGGGCCGGCGTGGCTGGGACCCTGGCGCTCTGTGCCTCAGTTACATTGAACGTTGATCTTGCAGGGGAGCCTTCGCGCGCCTCCATCGCGTCACCCGCCAATCATTCGATGCGGAGAAACAGCTCAGGTTTTTTGATGAAGTGGTGCATGACCATTCTCGCGCAGGGCTGAGAGCGACAGTCGGCTCCCCCCATCTCCTGCTCTCTCTCTCAAGCTCTCGCCTGCCCTTAAGGCCTTGTCCTCGGCCATACCCGCGGGAGCGGCGAGCCTAGCCTTCGATCCGCGGCCTTTTTTCAACGGCTCGGGCCAGTCTGGTCGACAGCGGACCTCAGCAGCTTTCATCTGCTCCTCGCGCGAGGTGGTCGCACCAACGATGATCATCGGCGGTCTGCTCGGACGCGTCTACGCCCACGTGCTCCTGTCAGCGGCTCAGCTCCTGTCAAGCTCGGGCTGAGCACAGCTGCGCTGAGAGAGGAGAGATCTTGAAGAGCGCGGCCCTTCCCGCCTTCCCGTCTCTTAGGCCGGACTGGTTCGTCGATCTTCTTCTGAGCAAGGATGGCGCTTTCCTCGGAGACTGAAGGAGAAGAGACACACACACACACACACACCCCTCGATCTCTCTCTCTCTCTCTCTCTCTCTCTCCGTGTCTTTCTCTCTGTCTTTCTCTCTGTCTCCCTGTCTCTCTGACTCTCTCTCTTCTTCTCTCTCTCTCTCTCTGTTTAAAGGGGAACTCGAAAGAGAGGGCCTCTCAGACTTTGTCTCTGACTCGGAGGCCTTCCCCCTTCGGAGCTGCAGCGCGGCGCCTTCATGGCCCGCCGGGGGACTCGTTCGTGGGTGGGGAGAGCCTTTTTTTTTGGGGGGGGGCGCTCCAGAGTTAGCCGGGAACTTTTTTGTTGCGCGCGTTTCCGAACTGTCGTCGCCGAGGCTGCGGCATCGTCGGTGCCAGCGCCTTCTGCGCGGCCGTCTGCCGGGCCTTCGCCATGGCCATCACCGTCTTCGAGGCGAGCGGCGAGCGAGCGGAGCGTCGGAGTCGGTCTCTTCGCTTTTTGCCTCCGCGCAGGTCTTGGCCTTGCCGAACTCCGTGCTGCCGCTCTGCAGCTCCGCGCTCACCGCGATCTTCGTGGCGAACAAGGCACGTCGACCCGCCGACTTCCTCAGAGAAGCCCTGTAGTCTCTCTGTATGTCAGGTGTCCCTGCCCTTCTTCGACGCAAACTTGGCGGTGAGCTCCAACGAGATTTTGCAACGGGAGAGTGTGTGCGAGTGTGGGCGCGGGAACTCCTGTGCCAGACGCGGAACCTGGGCGGCATCCCGGCCATCACCTTCACGGACGGCGCTTAAGGGCCAGGTCTTGTTTGGGGGGGCGCCCGACCTCCGGCCCCAAACGTGTGCGTGTTTAGGGGGACGAAAGGACAAGGCCATCGAGCCCGTTATGAAAGTGATGACCGTCGCTGACATGAGCGAATGCCGTGCGGCCTAGGACACTCTAGCTTCGCCAGGGCTATAGCCCCAGCACCCTTGCTCTTTGAAAGCGGTCGCAGAGGTTTGCCTCAGATGCTGACACTGCGGCACCTGCTGCACGTGCCTTCTGGCGGCAGCCAGGGCTTGCGCGGTGCCGGCAGTCCCGTGACCGGGCGTCTGTGCCTGACGGCCCGTGAGGCTCACCAGCACGAAGCACGACTTCTTCCCCATCGATCGGACCTGAAAAAAAGCGGAGAGCCGGGGACCGGGGAGTGGGGCTTCTGCGCGTTGCAGGTCCGGCCGTTGGCCTGGGACGTTTCTGACAAGGAAGGGGGCTCAGACAGCCAGTCAGGGTCGAAGGAAGTGTCGAAAAAAGAAGGTCGATTCCAGCACGGCCTGGATAAATAGGCCCTGCCATGGTGTTGACAGAAGTAAGAGCTCTGAAAGGAGCAGAGTTGACAAGAGTTTCGGAGAGAGCGGAAGCCCAGGGCCTGCTGGAGGGGACCATGACTCGGAAGAACGTCGAGCCGCTGGGCTAAAAAATGGTGAGCTACATCTCGAAAGAGGCCCATGTCCTGCGCGAGTCTCGAGGCGGCTGGTGACGATGCTCGATCCCAGAGGCGAGACGCCCGACCGGGAAATCGTCCGGGACTGAGGCTCTCCTTCCCTGAAAAGGTAGATTGTGAGAGAGTGCGTATACTCCTGTGAGGATCTCATGGATCCACAGTTCCAGGCACCCCCAGACGGCCCCAAAGCTCAGACTGAGCGCAGCCACGGATGCCATGCAGCAGCGCCCCGCTTCTGACGCGCGCGCGCGCTCAGAGGTAGCGAGGCCCTGGTGGAGGGCTCCCCGGTGCGCGTCTCGCCGGATTGCACCGTCAAGGATGCAGGGAGCCTCAGAGAGTGCGCAGAGAGAGACGAGTAGTCTCTTGTAGTCTTATAGACAGATCCACAGTTGAGGTGTACCTCTTGATGAAGGTTGCCGCTTGGCCGCAAAAGAATTGGTGCCAACGTGCAAAATATGAGCAACGACTGCAGTGACTGCAGTGACTGCAGTGGAGTCGAAGCCTTTTCAGGCCGAGAGCGATGGAGTGGTCTACGTCACGGATCGTGGCCTCCTGTGCCGGGCCTATCCTCAAAGCGGAGCGACCCGCGGGGAGCGGCGCGGAGAGCGAATACGCGGCAGCCAGCACATGCAGGCAAGGCCACATCACCCTCAGCACGCTCATGAGCCGCGAGGCCGGGGCCACAGAGCAGAGGGAGCGGAGAGCGAAGCGGAGAGCGACGGAGAGCGAGTGCGCTGTCTCTACATTTCTCCTGGCAGATCTGATCGCCGCCTCCGACTCCGCGAGCTGTCTCACGTCACACCCGATAATGCCCTATACATCTCGCTTCTGCAGAAAACAGGGGCCGAGAGCTGCAGACTCTTCGCGTTGCGTTGCCAGCAGTTCGTGTTGCGGAGCGAAGCTTTGTAGTTTCCGTCAGTGTAGGAGTAGGAACAGAAGAGCTTGCCGTGTTGCTCACAGGGGGCCTTGAGAGAAAGCCATGTCATGAAGAAGCCGCGTAGACAGACAAACCACAGAGTCCTGGTGGAGACGCCTACAGAGCCGCATACACAGCACCACACGTTCTTGCGGACTTTGCCAGCGGACCTTCTCTCGCTGGCGGGTGGCCAGGAGGTTTTGGTTCTCTTCGGGACCGCTGCGGCGATGTGGCGCCTGCTGGGTGCCTTGAGCCCGGAAACCCAGGAAGGCACACTCTTTCAGAGAGTGGAATCGGATCGGACCTTGAGAGCGTGCCTGCATGGCTTTCATTCAGACTCTGAGGTGCCGGGCGAGCGGCCCTGGCGATGGTTCGAGGCGTGGCGCCAGATCTGCAAGGGCGATACAGCGGAGCCACCTTCCGGTGCGGAAGCACCACCACGGAGGCAGCTGCGGGTGGGTGGGTGGGGGGGGGGGG